TTGTGTGGTTTTACTGTATCTTTATTTGTTTGGTTTCTAGTGATTGTGGCTCAGATGTGGGCTTGCTCGAATATTCATCTTTCATGCCTGTCCAGCTCTTCCTGGTGGGTTCTTTCCAGGAGCACCTTCTGCTCTTCAGCATTGTTTCTTTGGCATATCTTTGCAGCTGGTCTATAGCTATATAGACCAGGGCCATATATTAATGACCTGAGATGTTCTTTGAGTGTCCCAAAAATAAGCACACCAGGGCACTGTGTGTGCCAAAGAGATGCTGGAAATATCTCTGTACCTTTTGGGCAGCTTTCTAAACTTTGGTGCTGTGCAGACCCATGGACACTTTGGGTGGAAAGGCCTCTTGCAAAGCAGAAGCAAGAGTATTGAAACCTCCCTTCTTGGGGAAGGTGAAAGATAAGGACAGAGCAGTCAGTTATTCCAGGAAGCTGCAGGGATAGCCAAGGTAACAGCTGAACTGCTAAAGGCCAGGGAAACAATTGTCAACAGAGCGATAGGACAATTGCACATGATACAAAGAAAAGAGGGAGGTACTGGATAACTGGTGCTCTTGGCCAATTGTAACAGTTTGAAGAAGAAAGAGATATGCAGTGACCAAATGCTTTGGAGAGGTGAGTTTGCTGCAGGAACATGGTAAAAGCAGCTGCCAAAGGATTAAAACCAGCTTTGGAGAATAGGAGGTGGAATGGCAGGAGGGGATGGTTAGAAGGAAAATGGCATGTGAAATTCAGGAAAGGGACGGTTGAAGCGAAGGCAGACAGTAGGGGGGGACCCGGCAGGAGACGCAGGGATGACAGAGTGCCAGGGAAATCCTGCCAGCACACCCAAGGTCAGCCCAACCTACAGGCCAACTGCCAAGTGGATGGCAGCGTGTTGGAGGCAGGGTTATGGCCATGCAGGGTTTGAAGGAGGTTCGGGTGTAGAATGGCAGAGAATGGCATGTCTGTGCAGTCCCCGAGTCCAAGAATATGTTCTGGGACATAGTATGCAGGATTAGGAAACTCGCACTACTAAGAAGCAAATGAAAGCTTTTCTCCAAAAGCAGCCCTGGAAATGCTGGAGTGTGCTCGTGCTGAGGACACACGCTGCACTGCTAGCTCCTGGGGAGAAAACTTGTGTTTGGGGTACCAACTGTGTGCTGGTGTGTCTTGGCTTCAAACTCCTTGTGTGACCTTGTGCAAATCAATGTGATCTGAAATCCAGCTGTAGACAGCATCCATGTCTCTGTGCTTACTTCTAATTCCAAAAACGACTATTTAGTGTCTGCTAATTTCAGTGCACATTGAACTTCAATTGGAGAAGGTGTTTAGGGGCATAAATGTGGGTCTGGACGTCTATTGGAGCTTCAAAATACACCTTGAATAACAAGCTGTGTTAACACTGGTGAAAATTCTGGAGGTCTTCAGACTCTGTGTCTTTAGATCTCCAATATTGTCAAAACACCCAGCCTACTCAGCACCCTGCATCCTCCCTCTTATAAAACGAGGTAATTACACAAAGAGTATGGGGGTTGGATACACCTGCTAGTCAAACTGTCGTGGAGTTATTTTTAAAGGAAAGGACCTGGGATTTGGGTCCAGGGTGACAGCAACCCAGATCTGCACACATCTTATGGCTATGTAATGTGCCATTCACAAAGCACGTGGATGTGGGATGGTTTTTAGCTCCTAGAGGAGGGGTATTGCCAGTGATGAGCACTTTCCGTGAAAGAAAACCTGGAGACCTATTTGCAGTGGGGATGAGAGCTGGGGCAAGTGAAGCCGAGCCTGCATGCACAATAACACCCCAGTGTTATGCTCAATGGACACGTGCTCTCTTGCAAATCGTGGCTTACACAAGGCAGCTCTTGTAGAGATCAGAAGCTGGGGCATGAATTGGGAGAGCCTGACTGGAGGATGCCCCATGGGGGAGGCTGGGACCCTACCACATCCTCGTTACCGCTGACCTTGGCACGAGCACTGCCTGCTGATGGATCGGCTACGGAGCTGGACAAGACCCTGGGGAACCACTGTATTATCTATTATCGTCCCATCAGTGCCTCCCCTGACCCCTCCCAGCTCTGAATGCCACAGGCATCAGGGAGGGAATAAATCTCTGTCTGATACTGAGAGAGAGAAGGGAGCGAGAGCAGGAAAAAGGAGAGATGAAAAATGTCCTTTTTATGACTCTCACAACAAAGCTGGCCTCATGATTCGTAGCAAACATTTCTCTGGGAAAAGGGAGGGAGAGAATGGGGGGGAATCAGCAAAAAAGCAGAGCTGCTTCTTTCCCCTGGAAGATGTCCACAGGGAATTAATAGAGGGATATGGGTGACCTTTGAAGGTAAATATCCCAGGAAAGGAAAGAAGCCTTGGAGCTTCAGAAAGCCCACTCCAGTGTCTGACACTGCCTGTGAAATGCTCCATGCGGCACACATCCGCTATGAACGGAAAGCAGAGACGTAAGCAATCCTCCATGCTAGAAGGAGCAGCAGGGCCAGGGTGTGATTAATAAGGCCCTAATAGCAACCACAGCATTTGTGTTCATCTCTATTTGGGATGATCCAGGAGAGCTCTTGTACTTAAGCCTGCAGAGAACTCCTGACCTGGGTGTCTTCAGGAGACAAAAGCCTCTAGCAGCGCAGGCCAGGGGCTGGGGATATGTTGTTAGGGCTTGAGAAACCCCTGCACATTATCTGCTGACAGCTGTAAGACCACAAACCCATCCTGTGACAGCTGCTGAGTTGTTTGGCCTTTATAACCCCCTGTGCTGCTGTTCCTGGGGAGGCAGCCCAGCCCTGAGGCTGCATGCTGGCAGTAACTGCAATTCCAGCTGTGCAGAGCAGCTGCAACAGGGCTATGGGTGCAGATTAGGAGTGTTTGCGTTGGTGCTCTGGGGTTTGTCCCAGAGCATTGCCATCATCAGGCAGAGTGGCTGCAGCCACTTCAAATGCAATGGGAAGAAACCTTTGCTCTCTGGCCTTCTCAGCTGTTCTGTGTACATTGGGGAATGACACGCAGGCTCTTTTCTTGCTGAAAAACATCACTGCACCTGGTGTGTTTATCAAGGTGGCATTTCTAAAGGCAAGGAAATGCTTGAAGTCAGGGAAAAAGACTGTGTGCCATTGTTCTGCCCCAGACAAGCATGTTGTGATTGCCTTCCCAATTAGCAGCGCTAAGAATGCAATTGTACAGAGCTCAGAGTCTGAAAGCAGAATCAAATCCACTGATAACCAAATCATTTTTAACAGAGCAGGTCTTGGGGAGCCTGGTCAGCTGTGATTAGGGACAGGCTTGGGCTGGGCAGTGCTCAAGAAAGCTGGTATCTTTTACTGGCTAGTCATGGAAAAGTATGTTAAATTCCCACTTGTACTGAAATGGCTGTAACAACTCTTTGGTAATCCTAGTAATTTGATTTTGTCTATAACGTGCTTTTAAAGTAGAGGGATAAATACAATCAGTTGGCATAAAAGGTAGCTATTAAGAAGCAGGCAAGTTGTACAATAATAACTTTAAATTAAAAGCCCTTTCCCACTACTTCAGCTATTGTGGGGCCTGCAGATTTTCCTTCAAACTTTTGAAACGTGCCTAGACTTCTTAGAGGCAGCCACTTAACCTCCGTTTATGAAGAAATAAAGCAAAATTGATGTTGATTTTGGTCTACATTGGGGGATACTTTTGCAACATAAAAGCCCTTTTGCCTGCAATTTGCAGAGCAGCCCTGTCACATTGGTGAGGGTTGATACTGATAAAGATAAAGCTTTATAGCTGGGGCATTTGCAGCTAACAGCAAGCTAATGCTACATTTTCATTTTGATGCAATTAATGTTAATGTCTGCTACGAAAATTGTCATTAAATACCATTTTAAAATCCATTCAATTTGCATATGCAAAGCCCATTTACTATCATGTAAAATACACAATGCCGTTCATCATGTCTCTTCTCTAGAATTTGTTGCTGTTATTTTTCTGTAGCGATTATTATCCAGCTCTTAAAATGAAACCTAATGTCTGATCCAGACCTCCACAGAGCAAGAAAACACACTGTGCTCTAGCAGCAGCAGGGCTGCTTTGGAGCCCCTTTCAGAGGTGTTGAGCACTTGCTTGTGCTGGACTCCCACTGGCTCTTCCACACTGCTGTGCTGTCCAGCCTCCCTCACGCTTCCGTGCAGGGACCTAGAAGTGAGTCTAAGGTGCCATTGTTTTCCCTGGAGTCTCCCTGTTTCCCTATGAGAAAGCAGCACAGCAGGCAGCTGAGAGCTGGTATACGAGGGTTATGTGAAATGGGTCACTTCTAAGCGCTGTACCTGAACCTCAGGTAGGACTTACGTATGCAGGATGCTTTGTAAAAATCTTGTGGAAGATACTGCAATGCAGAAGACCTAACTCGATGTGAAGCCTTAACCAACCTGCTGCATTGCAAGGGTTATGCTCTTCTAGAGGGTTGCTGGGAGAGCCGCATGTACTGGCTCTCCCTGCCAGCTCTTGGGTGGGAGCCCAAGAAGGCAGGGAAGGGCTTACTTGCCTCCATTCTGCTGTACTACCAGTTTCTGCTCAATGCAGGGAGGCGAGCTACCAAGTGGGACAGGGAAGGATAAAGAACTTCAATTCATCCTTAACTGCACCAGTGGAAATACCAATACGAGCAAGTAGAAATGCTGTTGCTCTGGTTTTCTGACCCTGGGAAGCTGTCATTCTGGCTTACAACTTTTCATGTTCCTTTAAACTGAAGGATTTGCACTGAACGTATTTTTAAAAGGCTTCAAGCCCTTAGTGCCACAGGTGAAATATTGATGCATCGTGGCCTCTAGATTAGATTTAGGTAGTTGATTATCTGGCACACTGGTGCAATCAGACACGGGAGTGATGCTGTGACTCAGTTGCAGCATGTCCATGTTCAGGACACCTCTTTTGTGGGGACAGTGCTAGCTGAGATGTGTTGGAGATGTACGTGTGAGGGTAGGAAGGGATAGTCTCATTCTGAGAAGGGCCCCAAGCCTTCCCCCTTACTGTGTTTTGATGCCATAAGTCATGTCTGCAGGTAGTTCAGGAGGACACTTATTGAAGCGACTGTTTTCAACATCCTTGCACCGAATGTCCTTTGCCTTGTAGTACAAATTATATTCACGGGCTGTGGTATAACCGGCCTTCAGTGCACCGCGGTTCATGGCAATGTAGTCTCGGGGCATCTCCCGAACTAAATGAGTCCTGGGCTTTACGGTGTTCCAGTGGCCTATTGCTGGAGATGGAAGGAAACATGAGAGACAAGGAGAAAAAGATCAGGTACCTTGGGTAACTCCTATTGGGGAAGGCAGGCTGATGTTTGTGCATCATTCGTGCATCATATTCAAGGGCCTTGCATGGTGTGCATGCCTTTTGCCATGGCTTCACCATGGAGTGAACTTCATATCTTATCCCACTGCATTTCATATGGGGATATCTTCCATCTGAATCAGATGTCTTTGCACCCTTTACAATGGCTTGCTCAGCAAGTCTGATTTCACAGTGAAATTGTTAATTTCAGGTGATGCTAATTAAAGTGGGGAATATTGGATTTCTCCTCCACCTTGATGAGAAGTATTAAAGAGCACTGGGAAGGAGATGAGATTCCCTGCCAGCATTAGGATTTTGTTGCAGGTCTGTATTTTAGTGGTGGTGCCATACCTTCAGGGACTCCTCCATCTGTCCTCTTGGTGTACAACCCATATGCAAAATCAATGCCTGGCAGGGTGTAGCAGTTTCTCTGGGGCTTCCCCAGTTCCGCCTGTGGAAGAGCGAAGTCAAAGGAGAAATATAAAGACCTTTCCTGATTAGCTTAAGTCCCTGAAAACATAAGTTTGTAACCGAACATGGCCACAAGCACCAGGATTTGAATCCCACTGCACAAGCATCACAGTCCAAAAGAACTGGCAGCCATGAGGCTTCCCTAGAGCTGAATTCACACAAGTTTGTACCTAGCCTTGCTGAAAACAGGGATCCTGACTTAATATATACAGACTTGAAGTCTCCTTGTCTGGTTAATCTCTCCTTGGCTGGGGTGCCCCGCTGTAGTCTTTGCTGGGGAGACTCTGTGACAAGTCTTAGCTTTCCTTTTATTTCTAAGTTGTGCATCTTCCTAGAAAACTAATGTAAATTTCCCCAAGCACAATCACATTGCCACTCCTGCCTGTGAATAATCAAGACACAAGGCGTGTTGCAGGGGAAGGATAAGGGGAATGAAGAAGGGGGAGCAGAGCCTGGGGTTTATAGCACAGAAAAGAGAACTTGAGCTCAATGACCTCATATTTATTTATTTTTTAAATGAACTCTTCCCCAGACTGTGTGTGTCCCAGCCTGGTGGTGTCTGTGGGATTAACTGACCTCCCCTCACCCCTTTGTCTCTATCCTCCCATCTCCATGGTGAAGTCACTGCAGGATGTGTGTGTCTTGAAACCTTATTGCTGCTTGAAAGGGAGGTGGTGGAGGAGGGAAGGGGCGAGAGGCTGGCAGCCTGGGTCTGTGAGCTCCTGCTAGGAGAAGCTGGAGCAGGGTCCTCTGGAACCCTGAGTCATGGTGTGGATGCTTTGGGACAGCTTATTTTCCATGGGAAGGGTGTTGTAGGTGTTTGCAGGTCTTGTTGGGAGTGCTGAAATCCTACTTTAGTGCTTCTTCTGGTGAACCGTTGAACATTAACATTGGGATGACTGTTACCACACTCCAGAGTGAACACTCTCTGGATCAGGAGAAGCTGAATCAAATGCAGCTCTTTCTGCAAGGACTGAGTCAACGAGTAAGACTGAAAACGAACAATCTCCAGCTTGCCACTATGGCGGTTTGAGGCTGTACAGTGATTGACAAGGAGCACAGCTTACTGTAGCTGCTTGTATAGGAACATCATCCAAACCCACATTTACATTCTGCTCCAGCCAGCAATGTGCAAACCCTGGCTAGGGCCTCAGAGCTGTATGCTGCCAGCCTGGTGGTCCCTTTCCAATGTGCTGTTAAAGGGTACTCACCAAGTGTGCATGATGCTGCCGAGCAGCTTGAGCTGTTCTGCATCACCCTCAGTGCAGGCTGAGCCAGTTTTGCCTGGAGAACGAAGGTTAATAACCCCTGCCCAAAGCAGGTACCTTCCCAGAGGGCTCTCTGTTGAGGGCTCTCGAATTTGCTTGTAATTCCTCAAACTTTTTTGCCTGGAGCTATTTTTTTTCTGCATTCAGTTTGGAGTTTCTCAGCTCCTGTCTCTGTAAAAGCACACAGGGGCTGTGTCACCGACTCCCCACCAGTGTGCTCAGGGGTGAGATCGTGCCCGGTTGCCTGAGTGACTTGTCTGCGTTGTGACAACGGCTCTGCCCCTTTGCAAATCCTGGCAAGCTGGCTGTCAGCTTTGCCAGTTTGGGATTATTGGTCCTGCAAACCTGTTCAGTGATGCTTTCAAGTAAACCCACGGTCTTGCTTCTCTGGTCTCGCAGGGAGGTGGCTCTTCTTAGCCTGTTTAATCCATGCGCTTGTTACACCATAAAGCAAACGTGATATTTCCATGACTCTCAGGAGCACAAGTTCACCGGGAAATGAGTTTTCTGGACTTGCTAAGATCCTTCCATAGGCTCCCCCCCCCCCCCCCCCCCCAGGCTCCTTGCCCTGCGCAAAGCTACAGATCCCTTGTTGCAAACACCTTTTTGAAAGCAATCAGCTTGGCTATCTGATACAACCTGTGCATAACATGGGTGCATTCCCTTAGCTGCCTCCTGTGAACCTCTAGCAGAGGAAGAGACAGTCCCTTGCAGATGTGTCCAGCACTGGGCACGGTAAGAATGAGCAGGCTTTTAGTGCTACCACAACTGAAATGCCACACGACAGTGCTAAACCATATGTGCATGCTGTGTGTGAGTTGGGGAGCTCGTGCAAAGCATAGAAACTGGTGTCAGGGATGATAAAGTAGCCTTCATTGCTGATCTATTTCTTTTGTATTTACAGGCATTTGTATGCCAGCTTGCTTTTAGATTACTTGTCACGAGTATACAAGGGAAATGGCATTATAGTCCTCAGATGCATGCGAAAAGGCTCTTTTCAGGGATCGCATTCTGATACTGGATCAGCTAAGTGAGGTCAGAAATCTGCAATGATGGCAAAGGTGTGGCAAATGGGAGGAAACTGCAGCTAAGGAGAGGGGCTTGTAACCTGTGGTAAAACTGCTTCCTGACCTTTGAATGCAGAGCTCTGTAGAATAGAAGAAATAAGGGGATTTAAAGATTCCACAGTTGGGTGTTTAGTCCATTGCCAAATGAGTGCACGCTGTTTCCTTTTATGATCGGATGGCATTTACAGTCTCTTTGCACTGAATAAAGAAAGTTGAAGGTGCTGGATAAGTAATAATAAAAAAAAAAGGAATCTGGTGTGATACATTGAACATAGAGAGAACCTGTGCCTGAAGAGAAACAACAGACTCGGAGGGCTCTGGTTGCCTGCCAGCATCTTTTCCCCATAAAGGCAAAGAAGGGGGGAAGGAGGAAGCAGGAATGATTTGTGCTCAGTGTAATCCAAGATTACAGCCTTTCTCATTCATAAATTAGCAAAATGCTGTTGCAGCCTCATGGGCTGATTTCATTTGCTTGTCCTGGGGCGTTGTAGGAGAGCTGTGTTGTAGAGCAGTGGGGAGAGTGAGCCAAAGTTGATGCAGAAGGTCCTTTTTTCTCCCCCAGTTCCAGCACGGTTTCCTGTGTTCAGGTTTAGCCTGTCACAAAGCTGCTTGGCTGGAATACAGATCTGTCTGACAGCTGTGCCCATCAGCAGACAACTTCATTAAACCTCATTAAGATGTCATTTCTCTGCCTTATTTCCCACCTCTTGGCTCTAATTAAAACCGTCTCTCTCTACATCCCAGGCGGTCCTAATTTTCTCTGGGTTCCTTCTGCAAGTTTTCTCCCTATATGACCTCAGTGTGGAAAATCCAGCATCTTAAATACTGTTTATCCTGCCTGTTTGGAAAAGACAACTCTAGACTTCTTCCTGAAGCATTCCCTGAGCATCCTGCAGAGATCATCACCTCCTCCCAGAGCTGCGAGAGATGTGTGCTGAGGCTTTGTTTGCTCTCTCAAACTGTCTTTAAGGACTCAGCTAATGAATTCTTCCCCCTGGACACAGTAATTTTCATGGCTGATCCAGGTGTACCTGAACTGGGTTTGGAGGATGCCATGCTCAGACTGCAGTGCAGTGGTGGGGATGTTTGAACAGTGGGAATACCTTGGTTGGCTGAGAAGCAAGCGGTATTGAGTATATGGAGAGCTCCCTGGCCTTTGCCAGGTAGCTTCTGACTTGTGCAGCCCTGGATTTGCATTTGAGTGTCTAATGGTGCTGGAAAATAATGTGAAGGAAGAGGAAGGCTTGCACATGGTTCTCTCAGACGTGGATGCATTGCAAAGGTGTAAGAAGTACAAAACCTCAAAGGGTTCTAGGTTTTGTTGCATTGTTGCAAGACTTGTATGTTTCATCCCCTGGTATTTATGGCCCATCAACTTACATTGCACCAATGTTCTAGAGAGGACTGACAGGGGTAGGAGATGTGTCTGCAGAGAGAGGTACAGTGAGAGATGGAGGCATGGGTATTTAATGCCTGTATTAGGGGCGCTGGGCAAATCCACTCAGCTGGGGCTGCCCTGTCCCCTCCTCGATGGCTCTGCCCTGCAGATGCCTGCAAGCCCTGCACCAGTGCATTTCCAGGCAGCCAGGCTCTGCTTCCTTCCCTACCTTCTGTTCCCCTTTTCATTACACCCCCTTGTACAGTAAAGCCTCCCGTCACGCTGCCATTACTATTATTATTGCAGATTTACTGCACTTTCAGAGTGAAGTGATTGTGGTGACAAGGCCCAGCATTTTTCCCTCCTTCCCCCTGCGACAGCTTGAAATCAAGCCCTTCATTTGCATTTACATGATCTTGCTGTGCAGCTTATGAGATCGGGAGATTTATTTGCTACTTAGCTTGATGTTTGATTACACTCTAAGAAGGCAGTGAGCTACAAAGTGCAGGGATACATCAGAACTGAGCTACTGAAAGCCTCTGGGGGACAGTAACTCAACATCAGGTTTAGGTAGATGAGAAAGGGAATGTTCAGTGTTTTGAAAAAGGCAAATTTGATGAGATTTTTTTTTTTAAAAGGTGGAGGGAAAAACTTACTCTTTCACAGAAAAATGGTTGGGAAAACAAGAATGTGATAAAACCACACCTGAAAACCTGGATTTGTTAGTGCAGAAGAGATCCTAGCAGGGGCTGGCAGCTGCTGGGCTGCCTGCCGCTAACTGCTTGTAACTTCCACTCCCAAGAAGATTATAAATAATAAGTTGGCAGTTATCTTTCATGCTTTCATAAACAGTAAAGGTCAAAGTCAAAGGAAGTTCTCCTTGCTGAAGGACTACAAAATCTGTCCCTGCTTTATTAAGCATCAAAACACACCACTGAGCATTAATCCTACAGTACTAGTGGGGAAACTGAGGCAGGGAATCAGTGTGCTCATGCAGGACAGCAAAGGGAGTGGAGCTTGGATTGTGGAGAGGAGTGGACTGTTCCCAGCGCTCTGTATTCAGAATGTGTTCACAAATTATTAGTGTTCCACAGCGGTGTGAGAATCTTCCAGAGACAGAGTGATGTCTGTGCAAACTGCTGCCCTCAGAGTCAGGAATAGTAAAGATCAATTATATTACTGTGAGTTTAACTCATTTCATTACAAATACTCCAGGTAGGCTAGAGACACAGCTAACAGTATGTCTGCACACGCAGTCTGCACCAAC